TGTCATTAGCACCTCTAGTAATATATTTACTGAGAACAATGGTGACGTGTTCAATACTTATTTTACCCGCTGTATGTAGAAAAGGTAGTGTATTTCAAATCACCACAGTAATTTTTTTTGTCTGCTTGCCTCTTGGCATTCAGTGTGGTCAGCTAAGTAAGAATTTCGTTGCTAAGGGAAACATGTTTCATCTGTGTATATATATGACAATAAACTCTTTGAACTTGAATAAAGAATGCATGATAGAGTAATATATTTATTTATTTTAAACTCAAAAGCATAATGATTTAACATAGGGCTGGGCCATATCATATCATTCACGATAATACCTGGAAAAAAAAAACTTTTCCAGGAAAACAAATTATATCCTGATATGCTAATTTCATGACGTAAATACGTCACCRCACCACGCAGCGGATTATGCTCACGTCACTTGAGTCATGCTGGGATATTCAAGTTGCAAAGGTGAAGGCAAACATGGCTGAAACAGCCTCATTTACAGTAGAAAAAACAATCAGAGGACAATCGTAGGAAACATGAAAATGGTGTTTGTTATTTATAGATAAATATTATCATCTAGAACAGAAAACTTGTATCTTAATTTACATAACATGAACATTTTAACATGAAAATACTGAACATGTAACAACTACAGACTGAGTGAGCATTTGCCGCTGCGCTGACGCATCACCCAGGTGAAAGAAAAAAGTAGTTCCATCCAACTATGTATGATTTAGACAAGATTTCAACYGTTCAGATACTTTCCACTGCGTTCGTGTTGATATCGATGACCTGAAATGTCTGAAGTATCAATATTTTGGTTTTACTATCAATTCTAAAGCATAAAGTTCAATCATGTTTTCTGTAGCTTCTACTAAAAAAGGGCTTCAAAATATTCTTTAATAACATTTCAAACATTTTATTTAAATGACCCGTAGATTATATTTTAACAAAAGCCAGTTGTTACAATCGTCTTAACCAATGAACTAGCTGCCTTTTTCTTCTTGTACCACTTTGAGACCAAATCCCCGGTTTGATGTGATGGGTCATTAATTACACTGGTGCTCATTGCAACGCCCCAAAGACCAGTTAAAAAAGTCTGCTTATTTGTCTCAAATCAATAGTTACAGCTACTTACCTTCATAAACCGGTGAAGCAAATGAAAAGAAACGTTTGAGCCGTTTGCTCTGACAGTTTTAATGTCTTAGTTCTTACCGTTATTTCCGGACTATTGAGCACAACTGAATATAAGCCGCACACAATAAATTATTTATAAAAAAGTCAAATAAAGGTTGTACAAATAGCTGAGGTTGTGCTGAAAATAATGATACCAAACATGGTAAAGTGAAAATATAGAGGTAAATTCAAAGTTAGTCAAAAACAGCCATTTAGACCCCAGACCTCAGAGGGTTAAGTGACTTGTATTATGGGTCATCTAAGAACGGACGGTACTTTTGAGGGACAGATAAATTAACGCATGCCTATCACCAAACAACAGACAGACACAGTTTTTATCATCAGATTGTAGCCTGTTGTTGAGTCACTGAAAGAGGAAGGGCTTTTCCCAATCGAGACGACATCTTTGCCCCAGAGGAGTGGCTCAACTGTTTAAACACGTGTCATTTGGTTTGATTCTTTACCAAAATATCCTGAGGCTAATAAAGGTCTGTATTTCTATTTTGTCTCCTGGTTTGTGTCTCGCCTCTCAGTAAAAACACGTTTCTTATAGGCCGCACTTGTCTCWAAGCCACAGGTGTCCACATTGTAACATGAGATATTAACACAGAAAGATGCTACACACAACACCATCACCACACCTGACCACAGCCCCAACACGCATCATATGTGTGGCGCACAAAACCAGCACAATACACATGACCCACACAAACACAGGCCACAAATGTGCGATGCACGTGGCACACAAAAACAGCTGCTCGTCGGCCCCGCACGGTAAAAATTCAGAAATTAGTCACATCAATGTTTAAACCACAGTTGTTAAAGCGTGTGAAAAAGGTAGCAGCTTATAGTCTGTAAATTACGGTGTTTACACTCAGATTTTTTTTTTTAGGTATGCAGATAAGTGCTTTATTTACATTGACTGCATACCTGCATTTTGGAATTGCACATCAACACATGGGGAAAACTATTTGAGTTAACTCTTTCACCTTTAAAACTTACTCTGGATGGAAAAGAAACTGTTGCGATAATAATGTTAATAATCATAATGTTTGATCAAAATACAAAACATTTCAAACGGTTGTATTAAAAGCTAAAAGCAGTTCAATGAAACATGAAGGTGTTTTTACTCGGGCAGTGTTCAAGTCTCCTCTACTGATTGAAACATCAGRTAAAAACACATGGATCCATGTTAGAACTCACCCAAACACTGAATCCCATCCAGAGCAACCTGAGTGGCGTTCTCAGCACAATACAGGATCACTCCAGCACAGTCCTGAAAAACAAAAATAAAACTGTCTCACCGAGTGCAGGGATGGAGAGGAAAAGCAACACAAGGCTGACATGAGCCTTAAAACTTTATCTAAAACGGAAACCTGACAAAAAAAACTAAACCATTTTAAACTTCAACCAACACGTCAGGATAAAAACAACACCTGCTTCCATCTCTGTAAGATACTTTTAAATATCCCAGCACCTTTCTAGAACCATAAAATGCTTTACAGTGAAGCCCTGCATAGCCTCAGTTTGTGGACTCAGTCTGCTGATTTTTACATGGAGTTGAAGGCTCGTCCAAGTTTGTGATCTTTTCACCACAAACTACTTTCACTAGTAGTTTGTGATAATCCCTGTAATTTCACAGAAACCGGAAATACAGCACAGCAAGGCATGTAAATTTTTCTCTCTCATGTTTGTTGTAAGTTTTTAAGCTATTATATTATTAAAAACACAATTGACTAATTTTGTAACATTTAACGTACATTCAATTCAGTATATGGAAAAAAAAAGMTCAGTCCATGATGCACGCCAAGGAAAGATGGGCACAGAGCATCATTCCACGGCAGCAGTTCCACCTTCAGTTTACACTAGGGTTGGGCAATATTGGCAAAAAAATAATAATCACGAATAATTGTGGTATTTAGCCAATAACGATTAATTTGATGATTAATCCCCTGGAGTCCCTGAACACCCTTATGTCCTAGTCACATGACCAATTGATTGGGAAAGATTTGCTCTTCGTAAAGACTATACATCAAATTTTAAATTGTGTTGATAGATAAATAAATTACAGAACTTGTTTTTTTCAATGTTTGTCAGATTTGAAGTGGAGAGGTGCACCGAGCGCACTGGTGGCATTAGTGCTGGGCGGTATACCGTTTTGTACCGAATACCGGTTTTTATTTTTGTTATGATYVGAATTTTTTGAATACCGGACATTCCGGTTTAAATAGCGGAACGTTTCGTCGCGGCCGCCAGTGAACTGTTGTTTCCCGGGGGACATTTTTCCTTGCTGCAC